GTTGTGTCATCTACCTACCTGCTGATTTGAGCAGTATCAATATGTGAACATATCGGAACACGTATGTAGTTCACGTCACATCCTATTCACATGCGTGAATTTTAGAGTATTCCAAGATTGGCAGATCTCGACAGGTGCAGGTGAACGGATCCAATCAGGCCGCAATCAGGGTCTGCTGCTTCGATTTTCGGAGGAATATTCGCATAGTCGCACAGTGCTTGACACACGAGGGCAGAAGCAGATGTCTTTCAGCTGGTGGGCTGGTGGACGAAAACATTCGTAGAATCTAGTCTATGTTGCTTGACAACATGTTGTGTTTTGTTAGGTGCATCGATCATGAAGGGCAGAAAAGGAACGAGGCAAACAGGACGGTTGTGGGGCAGCTGGTGTGAGACAGTCTGGCAGGCGGACGGCAGGGCTGGCGCTTATCCTGTCTCACAGGCTGGGTGCAGATCTTTCTGCTTTGCAGGATATTCAGATATTCTGATATTCAGACATGCTTTGTGTTGAGATGTTTGAAGGCTGCCTGGTAGCTGTTTACTTTGGGTTTAAAGGTGTAGCTTGTTTGGTGTATTGTTCCACCTTGCACTGAAGTGGTTTGAACACAACTTTTGCCAAAAGGCCTGCACCGGTCGTATTGGGGCGTGTCCATTCTCTTTTTTTGTACAGCACAACACAGATTGAATTGGATGTCATTAAGATTCATTAAGAACCTTTCTTGCAACAAAAATCAACTGTCTTATCATGGCCATATAGTGCCCCAGGGGGCCCAGCGAAAAGCAGTGAGGCCTAGGCCTAGGTACATCCACTCACATGTAAGCTCAGCGAAACAGGCTGTAGCCAGAATCCCGCCCACAGTGCAATCGCCACATCAAAATGCTGAGTGGATGTTACTATATAAATGAGGCCCAAATGCGAAGTCCTCATATCTGACTATTGAAATGTCAATAGCACCGCGGTGCAAGGAACCGCTTCTTGCATCTTATTGCTCCACCATAGCCAGACGGATGGGTCCTCTCCACCTTGGTCCGCATCTCCACCAAATACATCCCAGCGGTCTCCCTCACAAGCTAACCTTCTGAAATCTACCTCAGCGTTGCAGGACACATTGGCAGCAAACCAACCTGAGAAAACATGAGAAAACAAAGACAACATGTCCTTGGAGCCTTCAGGCCAGCTTGCCCAGTCGGCCGCCGAGCATCCAGGAGCTAGTTAGTTGTTATTGCCGAGCTTTGGATTTTTGCAAGTCCCGTCCAAACAAATAAATGCACATTTGGGCCATTTGGGCGTCTCAAACTTGCTTAGCTTTGCTTCTGCAGGTCGGGTGGAGGTCCAAAGAATGCACACCCATAGCCTGCTGGTGACAACCTGAAAGTCATGTTCTAGTTTGGTTCAGGCTTTGTCATTGTACAAATTGTGCACTATATCATCTTTATGGCTGTGAGGCAAAACTCGGTCTCCCAAACCTTTGCAGGTTGCCTGGTAGTCCATTCTGTTTACTTCTGGGGTCAACCGGGTTCCCCTGGCTTGACCTACACCCAAAAACACATCCACTAAGTCTGTGGAAATTTGCTCTTTAAGTGTATTCGTCGGGCCTCAACACTATTCTGCGCACAAGATGTGTTACATTTTTCCAGCACAAGAGTTCGGAAGTCCATAGTGTAACTTTCCTGGCACCGCTAATACTATAGTCCTGGAGCTTTTTCACTAAACAAAGCAACGCAATATTCTTCACAACAGCCTCGACATGATGGCTGTCAGCATGAAAAGCATATTGCATCTACATCGATGCACAATGGTGCATAGAAAGCTTTTAGTTCTTGATCCTGTGCAACCATTGTGCAGACATGCAAGCATTTGGTTTCAACGTGGTCATGTACTGCTGGATGCTGGCTGAAAGGTTTGCGTAGCTTCCACCGCAGCCTCTTTGTGACACCTAGGGACACCACGCCCAGGAGAAATCACCGAACCAGGCCACCACGGGGGTGGAGCTGTGGGCCAAGACTTGGCAAGACCCCATGGGGCCTTCTGTGAGTTTGTTGCAAGTTAAAGCGGCACTTGGTTCGGGTTCTTGCGTAAGAATCCCGACCAGCCACTGAATTGGTTGACATTGGCTGCATGACGCCACATGTTGAATTTAGCATGCTGCAGAAAATAATCCAAGTAGGTGACAGTGGTGCTAGCAAGCTGTATGAGTCCGCATGTTTTTATATAGCCCATGATGATTGTTGTTGATGCGTTCAGCGCGAGTGATGCTAATCTACATTGCTTCATCCTAGCTTTCATGGCACACCCCTATCGAAGTGCAACAAACGAGCTGACTTTTTTGTACACAATGTTGTTTTGTGATGTTTTGTTTCGTGTGTGTGTATTTGTAGCCTGTTCCACATCATGCGGTATTCACAGCACAAGCGTTTGCAGGAGATTGGACGGCAATCCTTGCAGCTTGCCAGCCAAGACTCTCCAAGAGATTCGAAAACAACATATATATCTATACATCCTCCACCCAAGTAGTGTCCTTGCTCCTAGTAGCGATGCCAGGAGCCCCTAGTAGCTTCTTGTTCCTAGTAGTAAGGCCAGGAGCTCCTAGTAGCGTCCTTGCTCCTACTTATATATATAATTAACTTCTTTGAGGGGTTAGGCCGTAGTAGAGGTAGCTAGGGAGTCGCTAGGTACAGGATGCTACTACCGACAGGACGCAGAATAGCTCAAGCTTCTATTCATTTGGCTCCTAGATTTTTAGGGAAGCTTAACGTCATTTGAAGCCATCCGAGCAAGAGGGTTTGATTTGAACACATGCCTTCAATTCACTGCAATCAGATGCAGATGGCTTATCGTCATAGTGTTCTTAAAACGCAAAAAAGGTCCAGTTGAGAAATGAGAGACTGCAGTCTACAGTCTACTGTAGAGTTCCACAAACTTGGCGCGGAGACAAGACACCCAATGTTGCAATGCTGCGTTTGCAACCGACCCAGGCTGACGCAGTTGGATCAAAGTGGAACCTTCAGATCATAAGGTCTCAGGACTTTCGCCTTGGGGCAACTCCGATGACAACAACCTATAGCAATGGCCTCCAACCTAATAGCGTGATTGTTAGTTGATAAAGGAACTATTCATTCTCTCAATGATTGGTTGTGCAACCGAAAGACAGGCAGCTCTCGTGTCACTCATGTACATAGATACGAAACAATAGGCTGATAGCCAGCTTCAGACCATCCGATTGACACAACAGCAATTGCTTCGATTCGTACTCTTCAAATATGTTAGACGTTGTGTTCCTGAACAATGAGCTGGAGCTGAGCATCGGACCTCTTTGATTCCAAGAAAAGCCGGATGCAGGATGGTGCAGGCGGAGGTTTGATGTTGCCATATGTTGCCAGTTGTTAGTACAGAATGGATTTCAGAAGGGCATCCCGGAGCTAGATCTATCTATCATGGCACCCGCCAGTCTGTTGTGAACAGCTTTGGCTCTACCTAAATTGTAAAGTTGCTCCATCACTAGCAAAAAACGGAGATCTACAGAGTGCATGCACAAAATAGATGTGGAAGTAAGTACACCCCTCAGGTTGGCAAAACAAGACAGCGCCGGTATTGATGGCTCCGGGTTTCGATCCTAGTGACTTGGTGTAACTCAATGTGGTGTAGCTGTGAACCTTGCAACAAGAACATGTTGATGTTGCTCGAGGACCATGGGATCATTCCAAACGCCCTCGCCGAAGCGCTTGAAGTACCATGATTTGATTTAGCAAATGCAGTTTCCACCGGTGTCAGTAATGCTGACGCTGCCATTGAGGGCACAACATGGTGAGCATGCTGCAAGGGTGAATCTAAGGATTTCAGAGACAGAGACAAGATGTCAGCACTTTAATTATACCTTCAATGGTGCACCATGGTGCATCTTGACTCGCTAAAGAGTGCTACAAGTCAACAACACTGACCCATTTCTGTCCCAAGTGTTGCACTAGCACGCTACCTTTTTGCACTTCTGAAACGTATGATGCAGGCCAGCTCCTTTGCATTCAAAATACCGCAAGACACCACAGTCTGAATAGGGTCCTACCGTAGATGAACGAAATATTCGAACCCTCCAAACTACCTTGACCCCTTCCACCCCAAAACCGAATGTTAGCAAGCTGCCAGAGTGTATTGGTGAATGGGCAAAATATGTTTGTCCATCTACTGTAGTTGGTTGATGAAATGACATAGACAGATTCACGTCCTCAAATGCCACATCCTTGGCCTTAAGTCACAAGATACAGACACATTGGATGTTTTGATTGTGTGTCCCTTTGGTTTTGATTCTGCAATGACTGCGTTGTCGATTTTAGTGTTTCAACTCGACTACTTGGTTGTTTTTTTCCAAGTGACCAAATGGGTTGTAAAGGAATTGAAGGCGATGCAATATCCTTATATATCCTTTATAGATATCATAGATAGCTAAAGGATATGTATATACACTAGTTTTTGCCATCTCGAGCAACACCAGCACCAGGTGAGTATGGACGAACTTGAACCCACCTTGCCGCTCTGACAAGACAAAGCCACAATCACATCATTGTGCTAGTTTATTGTAACTCACATTTGCTGCAGTGTTCTGGTGGCAGTGCCTCCTCTCCTGATATGTCACTGGTACCAGATATATTTGATATCGTAGTCTTGCACCAGATATGTTTGATATCGCAGGTGATATCGTGGTCCTATGCTTAAGATGATATTAAAATATATGCTTTGCCCATAGAATGTACCATGATGCGCTTGCTGCTTTTGAAATGGTTTGTCGCATGCCCAACATCCAGCTGTGCGGCTCAGACCCGGAGTTGAGGGGATGCAATCAAAGATGAGTTGATCGCAACAGCTAATGAGCTAGCACTTTTCGATGTAGTGCACAAAGCACCTTTAAGGGGAGTTAGTTAGTTGATGCCCAACTATCGTATCGCACCCACAGTTTCAACCCACCATATTGCAATAGATTACATACTATGCAAGTCGTTGCATTTCATGCCACTCGGCCTATCCCGTTTTGTGTTTAAAGATTGCGCCCATAAGCGGAGCCATCCGTGCTGTCGGGCAAAAACAGAGGCGATTATTTGAATAGCTATGGGAGAGGTTGAAGCCGCTGCATCATGCTGCATTTAGGATCATCTAGGGTAATCATGAAATCTGAAATCTTGTTGATGACATTGCACGTTTTTCAATGGAGGCATGTCCGAAATCAAGCGCAGCTTCAACGATGAGCTTCTCGGAGTGCAGAAGTTGGGGTCGCTTGCTCTTATTTGTTGATCGTCAGCAGCTAATGCATAATTTGTTTATATACAGTATATATATATATATATACATTTATACCTTGTACTAGCAGCTGCTGCTGCTGCTGCAGGAGTAGTAGTAGTTGTTGTTGTTGTTGTTGTTGTGGTTGTTTTGCACTGCAACTGTGTCATCCTATCTCTAGTCAGTATCCACCACGAGATGTTTCCTCACTTGGAAGTTGACCTCCTGTTTAAGCGAACACCCTCCACACTCACTTATATGTAAGTTGCTTTGGTCATGTATTGATCCCAGACTTGGACAGAGTGTTTTGTTTCAGAGTTGTTTGTTTATTCAATGTTCTCCTGGGAATCTGCAAAGGCCTGGGAGATCCTTTGATGCAATGGTTACAGTACAAGACCTCAAAGACCCATAGACCAAACAACATGTCGGAGAGGCAGGCCCTTTAGTAGGCGCATCTGAGGATGGGCTTCCTCAAGCGCGAGGATACCACAAGCTACTCCATTCGTCCTGGCTTTGTGCAAGGAATGTGTGCCTGGCTGAGCATTTGGTGTCTCGGGATGCCAGTTATATAATGCTTGCAGTGATGCAATTAACGGGGAGGCGATGTTTGCCAATTGCCTAGGCAGGCCTTGACTCTGTCTAGGGCCCGGACATGGAGTGTGCATGACAGGTCTAAACAAATCCTCCATGTTTTTGTCTGCATGCTTTGTGGGGAGGAGGATGTGAGGAAAACATATTTCCTTGAATGTGTTTCGTGCGTTGTCGTGGCTTTTCATGGCCAGGAATGTTCCTGGGAAATTCTACGTCAATGACCAGCACTGGCCTCGACCTGTGGCCGCATGAAAGGCTCCAATCATAGCATTTTATCAGAGATTTTCAGCATGAGGCCAATTGCCGATGCTGATGGAATTTGTTGTTTTGACACGAGTCATTCTCAGCGAAAATGTAGTGAATTGATGGAAACGGTCCCCTGTGATGCCGTGGGTGCAAGGTCAGTATTAGGAAATCGAGTAGCTTGTAGAACTATGATCAGAAGACGAGATCCTTCAGGTATTTGTTGGATCACCGAGAGGCTTTATGAAGCCCTCATCTTCACCGACAGACAAAATATGTTGTAGAAATCCAAAGTTAGATTACAACTGAGCTACAGCTGCTTGCAGACCACAGCTGGAACCAGCTCTATGCGTCATGACCCACCTCTCTCAGTCCTTGAGCCCTGAAAGAAGCCTCGTGAATGCACTGTCAACCTGACAGTCTCTCACCAAATCAGAACAACGATGAAACATCGAACGGCGAAATGCCAATGAAATAAGTGTTCTTAGCCCGTGGCCCTGCCTCCTTACTTGATTCAGTAGACACCGATTTAATTAAGTAAGGGAGTAGGGTCCACGCTACTTAGCAATAGGAAGCTAGTACACATGGAGGCAGGATAGCTCATGCTCGCACTAATGATTTGGTTCCTAGATGTTTAGGAAAACCTAACTTAGACTTAAGGACTCAAGGACACTACTAGCAACAAAGGGCATCGCTACTAGGAGCAAGGACGCTACTACTAGCTCCTCGCCTTACTACTAGGAACAAGGACGCTACCAGGTAAACTGAACTTCGTTGAGACAACGATGGACTCATCACATCCATGGACTTATTTGGGAGATGCTTGACCCTTGGAGACCTCACCTAGGCTTGAGCGCCTCATGTTGGATGAGCTGAGAAGCTTTAGCAGGCCTGCAAATAATGTATTTGTCATCACCAGTCGCCATCCACGCATATAGTATGGTAGCAATGCTCATGAATTTGTGAACAAGTACAGCAGATTCTGAAAGAATGCCATACAGCAATACTATACTATGGTAATGGCCTTTTGACACTCTCATTTCCACAACTGACATCATGCCATACCTACATCTTAGTAGCCAACAAGAAGGTACCCTTAGAATACAGAGGCTGTCATGTGTCAAGTGGAAGGCAGTCCAACAACGCTGGTGGCTTTTTGCCAGCTGTGAAGCAGATTGGCAATGTGGCAGCTTTGCCAGGACCCTGGAATGATTCGAAGCACTTTGTTTGGATCAGACCTTACTCTCAATGCTCCTATCACCTATCTTGGTAGCTGTGGTTGGTGCATCATCAGCTGGTGTTCAGGTCATTGGTTGTTAGTGTCAGAGTTGTTAGACGTGTTTCTTTGTCTTTGGCCTTGTGTGCCACACAAAGGTGGATTCTTCAGACCCGGTTTCTGTGGATTCTTCGTATGCATTTTGACCTTTAAGGCCAGGAATAGTCAAGCACTCGATTGGCCTTCCAGTGACCTGTCTGGCCTAGGTCGTTGGGACAGGGCGGGGTTTGCCTGTTTCAATGTTACCGGTTTGTCGATCCCTGGGAGACTCTTCTCCAGTCCAAGGAAGCTACTAGTAACAAGGGCATCGCTACTCGGGACAAGGGCATTACTACTAGTAGCAAGAAGCTACTAGTAGCGTCCTTGTTCCTAGTAGCGATGCCCTTTGTTCCTAGTAGCTTTTTCTTCCTAGTAGCGATGCCAGGAGCTACTAGTAGTTTCTTGTTACTAGTAGCTTCCATATAAGCCAAAGCATGTCCAGCACTTTCCAGCACCAGTGGACCAGGGCAGTTATGTTGAGTTGAGTACAGTATTCAAGGACCCTATCGTTCAAGAAGGCAAACTGCATATGCAACATTTATATAACCGACATTAACAGTCTTCCCAATCAAGAGGTTGAATTGCGACAGATTTCTGGTTTCTGGGTGTTCAATGATGTTAATTCATTGTTTACGGGGATGTTGTTGGAAACTGCTGCCGTACAGAGACTGAAGGAAATCACCACAAAATAGCGGGTACAGTGCAGAGTTCCTAATAATAGTATGGTCGTCTCCACAATGACTTATGAATCATACATAGCCTACTTTGATTCCTTAGAATGTTTCGCAGCACCGAAGCGTCGACATGTGTGTCAACACATGTGTGACCTACAATTAGGACATCCACAGTGGGTATGGCTTTGCAATTGGCAACGTCGCGGCCTTTGATATGGGTGCCGCTCCCAGAGTTGGGCTTTGTTTGGACATGCATCAGTTGTGCGGAACAGAGAATGATCCTTTTCCTTGAGATTGGTAATTCATTAATAAGCTGCAGCAGATTGGTGTTCCTCTGCGGTGCTTTTGGGCAATCTGCACTGGGAGTGCACACATGAATCAGGCTTGCCAGAGGCAGTAGTATCCCCTGGAGGAGTTGGCTTTGACATCAACTGTCCGGCAACATAGTACTGACTGTGACCGACACATGCTTGCTCAAAGGGAAACTTTGTTCTTGACGGCAGTTGTCATGAGAAGGTTGAGCTTGGTGCTTTCCTGAGGTGGTGTGAGATTAGTGCGAACAAACCTGCTGTTCTCTGACGTGCTTCCTGTGAAGGACTGGACCATTACCTCAATTGTCCTGTCCTTGTTACTAGTAGCTTCTTGTTACTAGTAGTAGTGGCCTCCTGCCTAATAGCGATGGCTAGCTTCTTGTTACTAGTAGTAATGGCCTCCAACCTGATAGCGATGGCCTCCACCCTACTAGCGATGGCCTCCAACCTAATAGCTTCTTGTTACAAGTAGTAATGAGCCACTGGGCCCAAAGCCCGAAGGCTTAGGCGTCCGGCCGCCCGCGGCCACCTGCCTTTCTGCGAAGGAAGGGGGTGGTGTCCACTAGGCCTCCGACCTCCGGAGGCCAGCCGTTTCCTGTGCCGCCGAGTACCTCCTGCTTTGATAGAGGTCTTGAGCCATGGCTGAGCTGGACGCCGACTTGGTTGACCTCCTCCAGACCTTCCAAGATGGCAAGATCCGAGCGCTGTTCTCGGGCTTGGGTCCCGGCTTCACGCCATCGGTGGGGCAGAGGACTTGGGTAGCAGGTGAAGTGCTGTCGTATGGAGATGACTGGATCGACCTTCGTGCCCTTTGGTTCGTGCCTGCCTCCGGGTTCACCGAGCCGACGGGATTTTCGAAGATCACGTTTTCTTTTGACAACGTGTGCAATAGATGTCTTCGACTTGCTGCAGGAATTGAGGTGACTTGCTCCGGAGATCGGATTGACTCCGATTCCAACTCGGTCAAGCTCGCGAACGCCCACTTGGGTTTTCGCCCTGAGCTGGAGATCTCGCTACCCTGGGATGTGACCCACCTTTTTTGTGGGGCCTTTTGCGGCTGGCACCAAGGACTCCAATGGTTGGACACTGCAGCCAAGACTTTTTACGTCGGACAAGAAATCTTCGTTGATCGTGACCCTGAGGTGATGTCGATCTGGCAGGTCAAGTACGCCTCTACTGCCAGATCTCTGCCTTTGAGGAGTGGAGATTCCTGGACTCCAAGCAAATGTGTTGGTCTTTGTGGAGATGTCAACGATTTCAGCATCATTGAGGCTTGCCGTGCACAAGCTAATCACCTGGTGACTATGTCACCCCCTTGCCAATCATGGAGCAAGGGCGGGCTGAAAGCGGGTTTACATGATGACAATGGCAAAGCTTTTCTCGATGCCTTGGAACTTTCGTTCTCCTTTCAGGCTACAGTTATAGCTGCAGAATGCTCTGACGAGATTGTCGGACACCCACATTTTCGGGTCATCAAATCATTTGCGCACTTTCTGGGATTCAGATTAGTGTGGGACCAGGTCACGCCGTATAATCCACTCGTTTCGCATGCAAGGACACGCTGGCTAGGTGTCTGGGTCAGGGCCGACCTTGCCGGCCAATCCTTTCCCTTTCATCTCAAGCTGCCGATGATTCCCAGATCTCATTGGACGGATCAAGCTTATCAGTTTCGGCTCCCAAGCATGTGGACTTCCCAGCTCCACCTTTCGCCATCCGAGTGTTCGATTTACGACTCAATCGACTTCCTGCCCCCAGCGAAACGTGCCAGGTTTGAGAAGTGCTCCAACCTGAACAAGGAGATCATCAGATCCAGGATCCCGGGCGGGTCAGAAATCCTGCCCACGCTTTGCGCCTCCTATACTCGACAGCATAACCTTGCCAAGCACCACTTGGCACAGAAGGGGATTTTTGCCTGCATCCAAGAGAAGGCCTCGGGGTTCTCATTTTTCGACCCAGCCATGTTCTGCTCTCTTTTCGGTGCCACTGAACATGTTGTGCTTTCAGAAAAGGCGTGTGACTCATTTCGGTTCATCGGCAATGCCATCACTGTCCCCCACAGTGTCCTCACTTTGTGCATTGCTATCCACGCCATCAGTGAGAGTAAGATCGATCCCATCGGCCTTGTGCGTCAAGCATGGTCTGACAGGCTCACGGCCTACAACAGCATTTTGTTTGCGCATGAAGGTTTTGTGCACTTGATTCCCAAGCATGAGTTCTGGAATTGGATCACTCCTCGTGAAGTGATCACCTCAGAGGCGCGCATTTGGACCATTTCAGGTACTTGCATCGACCGTCAGATCATTTTCCATGCTTGCCCTGACCACACCTTGAGGCAAGTCATTCAGGAACACTTGAGTGGACCGAACACTGCCCTCGAACAAATCTGTGGTCTCAATGAGGACAGCCATCTCCATGATCGCATGACCATTGCACAGATTGCCACACATGAAACTACCCTGCGCCTTGTTGCAGGGAATGCCACTATTGGCACATGTGAACTGAGCCGGAATTTCCAGTCCGCCCAAACTAAGGTCATCGATGAGCCTTCTTCTTGTGGACACAGCTGCGAACACTTCCGCATCTTCAGGCATGATTTTCAGCACCACTGCAGATTTGACATTTTCTGGAAGATTCAGAAGATCGTCGAAACACTGCAAGACGATTCTTCACCTAAGACAGTTGCTGCCAACATCATTGCCATCCCTGAGGAGCTCAGTTTGACTGTTTTCCTTACCGAAGAGAGTTCGCGGAGTTTCCTGCACAAGATCTCGGCGCTGCCTGAGTTGCAAGGAAGGAACAAGTACATCGCCGGTATTCCGGGTGAGGGGAACCTCTACCTCTTGATCGCAGATGCAAGAGACTGTGATCGGATGCCCTATGCAGATGTGATCCTACGATTGCTCGGCCTTCCGATTGGTGGTTTTCAGATTCCGCTTGACAACACTATGTTTGCTTTTCAGTTGACTGACGTTGATCAAGTCTTGACCATCAGCAATATCAATGGCCATGCTGCACCAAGTGATCGGGTTTCCGGACATCTCCAGGATGGGGACATCATTGACTTGTGCTTTGCAAGCCCCACCAGAGCAGGGGGACATCATCTCAACCTCGTTGCTCCTCCCCACTTGCCGGCCTTTTCCGACTTCACGGCCAGAATTGAGTTTCTCTGTGATACACATGGTTGGGCAGCCACCGATGAAATGTTTCATTACACCCAGGCCTTGCAATGGCAACAAGACTGGCTCAAGTTTGGGACTCCGCAGCTGTGGAATGTCGCCAATGGTGATTTTGAGGAACCGATCTTTGGTGAGCTCAATATTGTCAACAATGCCACCACCGCCATCCCTGTGCTCATTGGCAGCCATTGGGCTGGAATTGAGATCACTAGACAAGGGGCGGACACCAGGGTCACATTCGTTCAAGTCCCTCAACAGCTTCATACTGCTCTGACGTTCCTGGTTGCCCGGCTCTTGGACATCGCCCCGCACAGATTTCAAGTTGCTTGCGAATACAAATGATCCGCCTCCACATGTGTGCGGTTGGAACCTTGTCTTCCGGTGGTATCGGAGGCATGGACTTCACCAAGGGATTGCTGATATTTCCAACCACATGACGCTCAATCAAGAATACAATGAGTTGATCCAACTTGCCATGCAATGCTCGAGCGAAGACTGGGGCCGTGCACAGATTCCTGTTGAGATTGGTCAGTTGGCCTACACTTTGAGGAAGAATTTTCTATGCTTTCTGGCGCGACGGGAACTTCAAGGACGACCACATCAGCAGATTGCATTGCATACAGCGTGTCCTCCGATTGAGCCTCAGGGCCGGAATCCTCCTTTCCAACCACCACCGGTTGCAGCTCCACTACCATGGCTTGACCGTTCTCAGATTGTCTTGGAGCGGATCCAGAACCGACTTGATCAAATTCTGCTGCACCCAGATTGGCTCTCTTCAGATGAGCTTGATCTTGCACTTGAGGGGCCCAGGGCGATGAATCCACAGACTTTGTTCTGCCCTCCTTCTTCGTGGAGCATTGGGGCATCACATCTCCTCTTCCTCAATGACTATACACCTGACTACAGGGCTTACAACCAAGTCATTTGGATTATCGAAGTCGATCATCACGGGGTCCAGGCTGAAGCGTATTTGCACGAGGACTCGTCCAACTTCGCCTTCACGTTCCCAGCAGACAGTCACATCAGGCTTCAGCCTCTGGTTGATCATTTGCTGCAAACCACTGGTGCCAGAGATACACAGATTTCCATCCACTTCTATGACCAGATCAGCCCCAGAGGCATGTGTGGCTACCAATTGGTCGCCAACATCTACTTGCGGCTTGCCGCCAACTCCGTGCCATTGCAACCTCCTCAACGGAGACAACTCAGCTTCCATCAGCTTGCGGCTGACATCTACAGAGCACAACAGGAAGCACTCGCTTTGTGGAATGATGCAGGAGCAAATCCAGTTCTTATTGAGTTTGCCTCCAATATTCGACACTGGTTCCTTGTTCGAGTTGCAGAGAACAGATTCCCCTCCGACGTTGTCTCAGGGGGAGGGTCATCACAAGAGGATGTCACGATGAAACAAGCCGGCTCAGCTGCACCCAGTGAGGTCACCAAGACAAAAGCCTCGTCCCCAGCTCAAGAGAAGGACCCGTGGCTCAAGAGTGATCCTTGGTTGAAAACGCTCCCTCGTCCGGCACAATGCAAATGGGAAGACCTACTGCTCAAGGAACCTGTCCCATTCACGGGATCAGACGATGCTGTGCTTCCGCAGAATCACCGGCTACAAGTTGGAGGCGCAAGGGGTGGTATTGTTCTCGCTACGAAGACCCACATCCAGGACATCGCCAAGACCGCTGGCGCTAATGATTTGGCTATCCTGTTGCCTGCAAGTGATAACCTCATCCAGTCCGCCATGCAAGGCAAACTCCTTGGTCCGTTTGAAGTCTCTGTTGATGACAGTGCGGCCAAGATAGCTTACAAGAGACTCGTCATGATGTATGTGATCCGGGGGGACATCAAGTTCAAATTGCCTGCACCGATTGCAAAGCTCACCACAGGAGCTGTGTGCGAGATTGTTCTTGAAATTGATGGGAGGCTCATCTCCAAGGCCGAGCTCGACAAATACAAAGAGAATCCCATCAGCTCCTTCAAAACATTGCTCAGTGAGGTTGCGCCCAAGCTTGATAGCTCTGCTGTTATCTTCGGATACCGGATTGCTGCTCATCCGAGTGGAAGCAAACAGGACCCTCTTCTGCAATGTATCCTGAAGGCTCCGCATG